AGGCGCCGCTGCCCCTGGGTGCCTGCAGGCAGCACTGGTTGCACTCTACCCCCTAGAGACAGTCACCCCCAACAGGGACTGTCCCCTTAGGCATCGGTGCTACACTTGGCCTTCACGCAGTCCCCGTGCTGGCACTGTATCCCCCCTCCATCAGCCACTCTCCTACCAGCGTGGCAGTTATTTTACGAACCCGCCCCCTTGCAGCAGAACGCTTCCAGCACTTCAGCCCACAAAGCTGCCCTTTTTTTGGAACCATCTCAAGCCCTGGTTTCCTGGCCAGCTTTGTCCTGCAGCTTACACAGCCATGCTTTTACCCCGCATACTTTCGGACAGCAGTTGAGGCTCTGTTGAGTTTTACTGTGCTGTGTCAAACAGGCCAACCTCCTTCTGTAAGGCAAACCCTCCCCCTGCTGCTGGTAGCTCTCTTTGCTCTTCTCATACCCTAAAGCAATTAATCGGTGTGGGGGGTGGGGGAAGCAGGCCCCTGGTGGGCCTCAGCTCATTCAGGATGACTGCATCAAAGTACTTTTCCGTGTCAATTGCTCCTTCAGCTGCCAGGCTCAGTTGTTCCTCCACAAAGGACTTGCCCTTTGTACTGTTGCACCTCACAGCCCCCTGCATCATGGAGACCTTCCTGTGCCTACGTGCCCTTCTCTGCTGTGCCAGCAGTGCCTGCCTTGCTGGGAGCAGGAGGCAGTTCCATTTACGCAATCCTGCATGCAGTCCTAAAACAGTTAATGTTTCCACTCAGAGCAGTCCTCAAGCTGACCCTTCATAAGGGTCCATGTACTCATCTTACTCTGTAATTCCTCCTGGAGGGTCTTGTCCTCACCTCTGCACGGTAGTCCCCATCGTAATTCTTCCCCCCACCCCCCACTTTATGCTAGCAATTTCCACTGTGACACCACAGCAGTAGCTTTACTGAAGTCCCCACTGACTGAAGTGTAGTAGATACCTTGCAAGAGATGCAATTAGTCTGGCGCAATCCACTTCAGAAAAAGTGTTCCATTTTTATTCCATTTACTTCTTTGCACCATTCTTTTCCCCCAAAATATGATCTAAGGCCCTGCCTACAGCAGAGGTCAGACTGAAAGCTGCAGTTGCCCAGGTCATTTCACTCTCTCTGTTAACAGGGAGATGATAGTCTGTTTTGTTTTCACAGTACCCCTCCACCAAATCACTTTAAGATCCCTGTTCTTGCCCTGTAGTTGAGCTTTGTGTGCAGCCTGTCACAGCCCAGCAGCTGGCCACGTTTTCTCCTCCCTGTTCTAAACCTTTGGCCATAGCAAACAGTGAGACAAGGCATCCAGTCTGCCCCAAGCAGACAGCATGCCTGCCGTCCAGCATGGTGGCTTCAGGGTAGCTCCGGTAGTGAAACCCTACGAGAACTCTGATCTGAACTCTGAAATCTCTGGGGTTGGCCTTGGGATGAGGGAGGAAGAGGCAACTGACAAAAGAGGGAAGAACTAAGGCCTATGATTTGTCACTTAATAGGTTCAAAGATGTCCTCCTGAATACTGAAGTGGGATTGTACAGGCTTGTATCCTTGCAGCTCGCCAGAGCCTGTTGTGCCTCCTGCACGGAAGAGAACTACTTTTGACACATTCTGTCTGCTTCCCCTCCCTCACTGTATTTTCTACCTGCAGAGGAAGGTGCATTAGTCCTCGACCACTCAGTTTGGAGACTAGAGCTACTGCCTACAGCTGATCTCTGTTTGCAGGATCCACCTGATGGCCGGGCGGGTTCCTGTGGGTGCAGACCGGGCAGCAGTGGCAGGAGAGATGGAAACCACGTTCATTGAGAATCTCCGATATGCTGCTGACATCCTGGCCCAGGTAACTAGGGAACAGGTCCTGCTGCACGGGTGCCAACTCTTAGGGGACTGAGGGTGTCGAGTCCCCCACCAGCTTGGCACAGGGAGGGAATGCTTCCGGCTGCAGCACAAGCCAGCAGCTGTCTGCTGCAGAGGTGACAAGATGCTCCATGGAGTGACATCACTGTGTTACAGGAAGACATGATTGGACTGATAGAGCCTATTAACAGCCGCATCACTGACCCTCGCTACTTTCTGAACACCCCTCACCAAGGTAAGGCAGACATTTCTCCCCGCAATCTCCTTCAAGGGAGGAGAGGGAGGCCCTAAACATTCTGACTAAAGGCAGATCCCTTGCTACTGCTCGAGTGCAAAGCCAGGAGGTTGCCTTACCTGCAGGGACCTGATGTGGGAGCACAGCTGATAAATGGGAGTCTCAGGGCTTCACCCTGAAGCTCCAAGCCTGGGAGTGACTGGCACTCATCTCTTGCACCCTTAGCTGCTGCCATCTTGGAGAAGGTGGGACGGCCCAACCTGAAGCTGCAGCTGGTGAGTCAGCATTGAGCACCTCGGGGGTCCACCTTCCACCAGGGAACTTCACTTTCCCCTTTGTAAAGCCAAACCCAGCCATGGTGTGAGGGCCACAGGAAAGGTTCATACACTTCAGGGCCTTGCAGCCCTGCTCCAACATGTTGTATGCAGGGCCTGGCACCACAGGGGAGCCCTGGTGGCTGTGGGCTTTGTACCCCTTCCTGGGGGCAGGGGGAGGGATAGGGACTGCTGCACAACCAGCCCCAGCCGCTCGCTGCTAAACAGCCTGCACTGTCTCCTCTCTCACCTAGGACATCTTTCACTGCCAGATCATGGATGGGAATTTGTCACGCAACTTGGAGACATACTTCCCGCTCATAGGTAGGGCACTGCACCTGAAGGGGTTCCTACTCATACATGGGGCAGGAGTGGCTTTGAGATGGGGTCCTCCTTCCCCATGCTCTGAGGTAGCTGGCTTGGTGTGAGGGGCTGCTCTCAGGTCACCTTGTCCCATGCCTATAGAAGGCTGCAGGCACAGCTGCCTTGGACAAAAGGCCTCCAATTCTCTCCCTAGGTCATATCCAGATTGCACAGGTGCCAGGGCGGCACGAGCCTGACAGCCCTGGGGAGGTGAATTTCCCCTACCTCTTTCAGCTCCTGGAGTCCCTCGGCTACACTGGCTACGTGGGGTGCGAGTACGCTCCAAAAGGTGAGTGGGCTTGCAGGGTCTGAACCCCACTGTCAGATTCCAGCACAGACCAGCTTGCAGGGGACCATGAAAATAGCAGGCATGTCCTAGGGGGGCTCTCCAGGCACAATGGGCTGGGGGTGCCCCTCCTGGGGAGGGGTACCCTGCCTGAAGGAAAAGCAGCTCCAGCTTGCCTGGGGAGGGGCAGCAGAAAACCCTGTGTCTCACTGTAGGAGACACCATGGAAGGTCTGGGCTGGCTGCGCTCGTACTGGGAGAGCCGAGGCCTGCAGCACGGAGAGACTGGAAAAGCAACAGAATAAAACAGAATGAAATCACTGGAATAAAAAGTCAAATCAATGGCCCAAACAGAGCAGCAAGTCTGTTCTCTGACTGGGGTGATTTCTAGAGCAAGGTTAAGAGCATCTATGTCCTAGTCACCTTCTTAACACCGTCTGCTGTTTGCTGAGACCAAGGCTGCTCTGCAGGCCTGCTGGGCCAGCACAGACAGTTGGACCCTCATCTAATCAAGTACTGTCTGCCACAAGTCGTTTTTGGGAGTGGCTTGGGCAGCACTGAAGCTGATAGGATGACTTCACATACACAGGAGCACCTTCACCTCCTCAGTGGTACCCAGGGGAAGGTTTCCAGTCACCTCTGCTAGGCTTTGGAAGGGAGTGGGTTCTTCCATTCTAGCTCCAGCTGGAGCTTGGAATTAGGGGAAGAGGCTACTGTCATGTGGCAAAGACACTCATGTCAGAACACCACACCCCACAGGCAGGTGGAGAAAGCGAAGCGACCAGCTGCCTTGCAGGCTGCCTGAGAGAAACCCCAGGTTCACAGAGGCCATTCCCCCAAACCAAAGTACCAGGCTTGGAGCTGCCCTCACATGCGCACTCAGTGCTGACAGAGGGAGTGCATTACTGTTGCTCTAAAGCAAGTATGAGACTCCATGGCAAATCCAGCCAGCCCCCTCCAGCCTCGCTTCCAGGAGAGGCAGCCTGCAGGCTTAGGGTTGCCTCTGCAGCCCCTACGGAAGGCTAGCCAGCAGCACACAAGTAGGGAATCTGGTTCAGTTTACTTCACAGATAGAGCAATGGCTTTAGCGTACCTCTCCAAAAAAACCTTTCTCCTGGTCCAGGTCACCCTTCCTGTCTCATTCAGTGCTCTGCTGATAAAAGCAAAGGGCCAGAAATAGGCAGCCTCACTGCCCAGAGCCCTAAAGTGCAGGAGCTTTTTCACCTCAAGTGAGGTAGCTGCTGCCCCATGCCAGAAGATACAGCATGCTCCTCCACCCCTTCCAGGCAGGCAGAACTCACCTGCAGATGCCAAAGCCACGTCCCTGAGAGCTGCTCTGCCAGGCTGCAGCAGCCAAACTCCTGTCCTTGCGATTCAATTCAAGTTCATTTAGTATAAACCCACTGAAAAGTGCGCTGAGGGCCACACCAGCCAGCCGGTGAGCAGTGGAAGTGCAGCAGGGGCTGGAGCCCAAGAGGAGGACTGCCCTCGCGCATCCCCGGGCTCCTCAGTTTGGTACCCATGTGTGCTGCTAGCAGTGCTGCCTGCAGTGCTGGAGCACAGGTACCAAGAGGCCTGTTCTTCCCCATCGTCACCATTGGCACAGATGTGCAGAGAGGCCCAGTACATGTGTCACTGCAGGATGTGGGCTCCAGTGCTAGAGCAGGCCTGTCCAGAGGTTGAAGCAGGCAGTGTTGATAACTGACTCCAGGTGATGGTACGTGGACACAAGCTGCGGCAGAGGGCTTTCGCTGTTCTGGGGCTGCACAGGGAATGGCTCCCGGAAAACCACTGTGAGGCTCTGCAGAGAAGGAGGAGCGGGTCAGAGAGGGGATTAAGACAAGCACATACCTAAGCACATGGGCACTCACATGGCAGTGTGGGGCAGGTATCAGGAAAAGTCCTAACACGCCAACAGCACTAAGCTAGTGTCTCCTCCCATGACAGAGCATGTTTAAGCCTCTTCCCATTTGTCACGGTAAGACTTAGGTGTGAGGACATGCCCACTCCTTCTGCGTAGGCCCCCACGGATCTGCAGTTATTCAAACCCCTGCATCAGCTGCCTCAGGAGAGGAGGGAATCTTACTGCCTCCAGGGAAATTAGAGGGAAATTTCTTCTAAGGCAAAGAGTAGGAGTGCAACAAATGAGGATGGGGAGGAGATTAAAGGTAATAACTGCAATTCCAAAAATAAATGCTAGCTGCACCTCTGTTCTCATAATGACTATACTGACAAGGCCAGGCAAGGGCAGAGGGGGACAGAGAACGGGGTTTGGAAGAGGTTACAAAAACTGAAGCACAAGAGAAACGTTAGTGGCTCAGTGCACTCATAGAGCAGTGTGGTGGAGGCAAGAGACGGGGGACTGGATGATCTCCAGAGCTGGAATACAGACTTCACATCCAGTAGCTAGGCTCTTCTAACAAACTCATAAAGCCATGAGAAGAGCTGTGTAACTGCCAAACAGCAAATGCACTGCCATCATTTAAGAGGGAAGAGAAAGTGATCTGTGAGCCTAACTCCAACAACGTGCAAGGCTTTAGAGCAAGCCTGGAAAAAAAGAACCACAAAGTAAACGCAGCACTGTTTTACCAAAGCGATATGCTAACCCTGGAGTTCTCTTTGATAAAGTAATATTTCTAGACAAAGGAATCATGGTATATCTTATCGGAGCTTCAGAAAGGATTTGATGTCGTGCCACATGGGAAATTTAGGTAAGCTGAAAAAGATAGGAATTAATGCAAAAATTATAAGGTGGAGATGGTAGTGCTGAAAGGGGAAGTAGCAGGCTGGAGAGAGGTTACAAATGGAATTCCTCCAGGATAGGTTTTGGTACTCACGTTGTCTGGTACTTTATAATGAATCTGGTACAAAGATGAGGAGCATGCTGATAAAATTTGAAGCACTAATACAATAGAGGATTGGGATAATGCAAAAAGAAACCCTAGAGACTCTTGAGAGGCCACAGGAAAGGGATGAATGTTAAGCACAAAATACAAGGTTAAGAACATGAAGGATTTCTGTTACAAGATGGGAGTTCACTGAGGGGAAGTGACAAGAGGTGGTAGAGGGTCTGAGTGTATCAGTGACCACAAGCTGACACAATCACCAGTGGTACATAGCCAGAAAAAGGCTAATACCACCCCAGGCTCTACCAGAAGCACCCAGTAGGAACAGGAAAGCAGTGCAGGTGCAGAAGGCTCTAGTGAGACTCCTCTGGAATATAAGGTACAGTCCTGGACATCCATGTTTACAAAGGCTGACCTTTAATGAAAAGGGCTCTGAAGGACAATGAAGTCTGAGGAAGGGAAGGCCTTTCTTAGTAGGAGAGGCTTGAAGCGCTCAACTTGTTTAACATAGCAAAACAGAGGTAGGAGAAAATTCCACCTTCAGATAGGTGTAGGGGAGTCTGGGGGTCAGGGAAGGACCAGCCCAGTGAAGAGACGCTTCAGCTCAAAGCTGCCACTGGCACAAGAGGATAAAACTGGCCATGACAAAATCTCAAAAGCCAGCATGAGATGGGAAGGGCTCTTCACCACAAGGTGGCAGGAGGCTCTGAGCAGCCTTCTAGCAGGCACCACCTCTTCTGTCTCTCCTACTAGCTTTTAAGATGGAGCGCAACTTACTTACAAAGGGATTAGACATGCTGCATTCCCTGTGAGAGCATCACTGTGGACTGAAATGTCTTGCTGATCCCCGACTCTCACACGGAGTGGGATTTCCTGTGAGCCATCCTGCCCCCTGCCTGGAGCACAACTGGCAATTCTCTGTGGCAGAGAATTTTTGCCATCAAGCCTGAAGAAGGCCAAAACAGAAGCATCTTTGCCGGGACCCTCCTAGTGCACGTCCCCGTCCCTTCTCCCCAGGTAGGAGCAGTCTGCAGCACTAGTGACCGCTTTTGCGGCCAGGACCAACTTTGGTCCGGCTTTGGATTGAATAGACAAGGACTTTTTAGCCTGGAAAGAGACAACTGAGAACATGTTCTAAAAGCAACCCTGGGAGGGGAAAGGGAATCAAGTGCACAGCATTTTCCAGTACAAAGAACAAAGGGGCATCAGATGAGAAGAGCAGCTAGTTTCAGAAACAAGCCAAGGGAGGTAGCTCTTCACCCAGACTGTAATTATGCCATGGAGTTGCAAGTCAAGGGAAAGCGTGGATGCCACAAATTAACAGAAGGAAAGAAAGTCACTGGAGTCTATTAAAGAGGAAGGCCAGCTCTAGCTCAGGATAGGCCTAAGCCACAGCCTGTCAGATGCTGGGACAGTATTTGGGAAAGGTGTCACAAGCTTCTTGACTTGCTCTTACTCTCCCCGTGGTCACGTGCTCTTAGCCACTGCTGGATGAATTTAGACAGACTCCTGGTCTGAGCAGATATCGCTGCTCTTACATTCTTAAATTCTTACCGTCTTTCCTGAATGGGAGTCGAGAAACACAAGAACGAAGCAATCTGTAAATTTCTGGTTAAGCACAACCTGTCAAGAGAGCCACAGCACACATTGGAAAAGAGACGGTACAAACCCCAGGACAGGGAAAGGAAAGCACCAACCCGGGGACATGCTGAAGTGCAGGACTGGCAGCATGATACAGCAGTGAAGGTGCAACCTTGCCCAGCTCACGAGCGATGCTGCCAAACTGTGGGGCTATGCATTGGGCAACTGTGGGCATGGTGCTCTGGAGGGGGAAAAAGTGACCTGTCTGGGGGCAGACAAGCAGACACTGCCGCACTGCAGGAGCGCACACACATCACACTGCACGAGTGGCAAAGTGGAGAATAACATCATGGCAGCACCCATGCTGTCCTGACAGCGCTCGCTGGGCTCACACGATGAGAAACCATGGTAGGCGGGCCCTGGGCAGGGGAGACAAGGCTGCAGGCAGGTGACAGGCTGGCTCTTACCAGGTACTGGGTGCCGGTTTCAGCATTGTGGAAGTGCCGACAGCTCTGGGGAAAGCGGCTCAACAGCACTTTGATGAGGCTCTGGTACCAGGAGACTGTCATGGTGAGGAAGCAACCCTGTGGGCATGGAGAAGGGCTGATCTCAACCTCCCTCCACCCATGGCGCCATCAGCCATAATGCTAGAGCATCCAGACCCCTAAAGAGACATATCCCCCAGAGCTCACTGAGGCACCCCACCGCAGGGCCATTCACTCTCCATACGTGGGTCTGGGCAGCCTCCCCCTTCACCAGCTAAGAGGTATATTCCTGCCTCTGCCTCCTCACCAAGTAGGAAGAGACATGTCCTGCAGGGCCTTCACCCGCAGCCCCACTCCCTCCCCAAAGCAGAGCAGTGACAGCTGGGCACCATTCCTCTTGGCCCTGCTGCTCACCAGCTGAGGGTCAACATCAGCAATAGATTTCCCATGCACGGCGTCGAGCAGCTCCTCCAGCTCCACTAGCGAGAGCTTTCCCAGCTTCAGCTTGTCAGAAGCCAGAGGCTCCAGAAGGAAGAGACGCTTCCAGAGGTTGTCCCTGCGGCAGTGGCACTTGGCCAGCTGCACCATGTTGCTCAGCTGCTTCTGAGCTGAGGCCACCTCCGAGGCCAGCAAGGGGAAGAG